AAACTTTTTTGTGATGTAACAGCTGGATTTAGATTGCAGGATTTTACTGTAAAATAAGAGTTAAATGCTGTGCAATCAAAGCATACTGTAGTTCTTGCATGTATTCATTGGGATATTACAGGGAAAGTTGATTACAACAAGTTACTGCAAAATAATACAGTTTCTTGTTGTGGGATGCTGGTAATTTTTAACAGTGTAGGTTACAGGCTCAACTCCAGGCTCCCTGCAGTCATGTCTGCCGTTGTGCCCTTGGGTAAGACACTTCACCCTCTTTGCCTGATGGTGGTGGTTAAAGGAACTGGAGGTGCGTTGCTCAGCAGCCTCACCTCCATCGGTGTATCCAAGGCAGCTGTGATTAGACTTTAGCTCACCACCAGCCGCATCTTAATGGATGAATGATTTACTGCAGTGTAAAACACGTTGGAGTCCTCTGACTCAGAAAAGTGCTATACGAGTATTTATCATGAGACACGTGTGTGTGATTTCCATGGAGACCGCACCTTTTATATTTGGTAAATATTGATTCTCTTTCTAAACAATTTATACAAGATTTATCTTTGATTGATTTTAAGTTTGATGGGCCAGAAAAGTCTGTGAATGTGTGTGTAGCTGAATGAGTTGTGTTTTATAGAACTCTATAAAACACTATGTAAATATGAGCCATTTACTATTAACCGAGTATTCCCTCGTTGGGGCAGCAGTTAGAGGGTGGTGAACACCAACAGGTGAAAAACTGGTATTTGGTATTAAATAATTATTCTCACACGCTGGTTAGTTGCAGAAACGTGATTAGCATGAGTCACTGTAGCATGATGCATCAGTGAACACATGCCTGTGGCCATCAGGCTAACTCCTCTCTGTGAAATCTCAAAGGGAACCATTAATCATTTTAATATGTTTCTAAAACTTTACATTAGTAAACCAATTATTACCCCTTTATTGTATTATTATTGCTGTATTTGTGTCTGATGGTGTCCTTCATCCTTTCTTTTTATTGGTGATTGTGTTATTGAGTCTACATGTGCAAAGGTGTGCTTCATTTGTCAACGTAAATAACTGAACTTTCTCTTTGTTTTGTGTTTCAAAGTAAAACATCCCTCCTGAGATCTTCATGACTGTTTTCTTTTTAATTAATTTCTTTTGTGATGTTGGACTGCTGTGAGGTAAGGGAGCTACACCCACGGTGTCCAGCAGGGGGCAGTCTGTCCTCATGTCAAACACACTGAACTCTGAACCTTGAATGCACTCTGACCACTACATCATGATGGACATCTGAAATGTTGCATCATACATTAAGCTGTATAATATGTTGATAGTCAAATATTTTACTGTCTGGACCAGCTGAGGGACGCGTAGTGACTAATGGGGCCGTTTGACACTGGCATGATAACAGATCATCACTATTCAAGCTACATAAAGGGAAGCTGCAGGAAAAGTGTGAATGCATTGATCAAAATGCCACCAGGATATCTGGCAGAAGAAAATAAAATTCAGTTCGAGTCTCAGCAGCTCGGCCCTTCTTTACTACGGAGATCCCCTGGGCCAGCAAGCTCTCAGACTCGGCAGCCTCATTACTCTTTAGACAAACAGATTTGGACATATTGAACTCAGACCCAAAACAACCCGGCTGTGTGCCGCCACTCTCCAGGCTCTGTGTGTGATTGGAGGGTGTTTGTCTTTCTCACTCTGTCTCTGGGTGTCTGTTTGCCTGACACTTGTCTGGCTTGGCCTACTTTCGTCTTGATCCCATCAGTCAGTGTGAGGACCTGTGAAGGCCATCTCCCCATCTTGCTCTGTGAATCTCTGCCAGCTCTGTGCCTGTGTCAGCAGTCAGGGACTTGACTGAAACCCACGCACAGCCTCCAGACTCTGCTCCAGGTCCCACTGGGCAAAAGGCAGCACTTCTCCCTCATTCAGCAGACAGCCTAATTTGCGTGCCCGTAAATCACTCACAAAAGTGACACAGAGCAACACAGCGAGCCATGACTCAGAGTCAGTGTGCCAAATCGCAGCGTTACGTGATATTAGCCTCCAATCAGGAAGAAGCTATTCATATAACCTTCTGGGTAATGAGAGGGTAAATGGGTTTTGAGCAATAGCAGCACTAAAAATCACAATCGCTTTTCACTTCAAAAATCTGTGAAAGATCTGACTAAAAATTATCTAAGCATATGGCTCACTCAGCACTCGTTAAGTGTTCTCATTTTTTTAAAAACAGCAATGTTTAAAAGCTGCAAAATTACACTTGTCATGATTAACGATTCAGCTGCTAAGGTACGCGAGCACACAAATAATTTGCGTTATTCAGACGACTAATCCTTCTCTTGTGAGGACAAAGTCAAATGGGGCTGCGTGAAACATAAATAAATGAAGAGTGTTTACTTTGGGAAAATATTTTTAAACCCAGCAGCATCTCCAGAATTCACCACATTAATCAGCGCCGATTTACGTGGAATGCTGGTGTATTTGTGCTTTATTTTGTTGTTTATATAACAGAAAAAGTGCAATTAATGTCGTTCCATTCAGTCACTTAAAATGTAACATATGTGCTGTGAGTTTAGTTTATAGTGACAGCTAATTTCCAATTACTGTCAGTTTGGTTTAAAGGTAGCTGACATTGAGGCTTCTGTTGCTGCCACTGAAACAAAATAGAAACTTGCTGGATGATTTATGCGGGATCAACACATGACAACAGATCTGTGTTTCTACTTTGGGAAAATGAATAGAGGTTCCTGTCAACATTCTCCACTGGGGACTGGTGCATTTCCAGTACAAAGCAGCAGAGGCTGGCTGGAGGCTGTCCACACTGATGCCTGTTGATTATCCCGAGTACCATGAAATTGTTCCTGGACAGACATGCAGTGTCCAGAGTGTTTTCAAAAGCTGTTTATGAAATGCTCTAATGAAATGGCTGAGGTCATGTTGGCAATCTTGCTAATGGGAAGGCAGAGAATTGACCCAAATTGGTCCTTATCCATTAATAACCTTTGAAAAATAGGCTTATTGTATTTTGAGGCAAAAATATATACATAATCAAGTTATTATGAGGTCATAACATTGAGTGTGTTATTACCGGAGCAACTAATTGTCTCTTGTTTTTGAACAAAAGACGGAGCGGTCCCACGGGCCTGGGAGTGAGCATGTGCCTTGAGAGGAATTTAAGTATCAGTGTTTTGTTTATGAGCCTCAGAATTAAGGTGAGAAGCATCATCATTTAAGGGGAATTCTGAATAGAGCTGCTGCTTCTCCACATCGAAATAAGCCAGTAAAGGTGGTCCAGGCGTCTAATGAGAATGGTGTCTCGTTACCCTCCTCTAGAGGTTTCTCAGACATGTCCCACTGGGAGGAGACCCTGGGGCAGAGCCAGAATGTGTTGGAGGGATCATATATCCTCCCTGGTCTGGGAGTGTATTGAAATCCCCCAGGAGGTACTGGAGAGTGTCACTGATGTGGGGGATGTCTGGCTTTCCGTCCTGAATCTGTTACTACAACCTTGGATATAGTGAAAAATGGACCAAAATACAATTTATTTACACAAAACAACGGAAAATCTCCATGCACTTGTTTTATATTTCAACATTCTGACCAGGAAATATACAAACTGTTATGCAGGTGATGGCTCAGTTTGAATATTCATCTTGAGCTTCATGCCAACCATTGTTGCCTATTGTAAAATTGTCAGTTTTTGCTTTTATCAGTTGTTGATAATTACTTTAGATTTATTACCCATCAACAGGGGCAGACTGACCCTCTGTGCGTCCCACAGTGGCCGGTGTGCTCTAGGGCCGGCAGGTGCCATCTCTGCCCCCCCCCCCCCCAACACACACACACACACCCACCCAGCTAGATCCCATATAGGGCAGGCTGGAGATATTCCAGGGGTGAATTTTCGTCCCAGTCCACCCCTGCCCATCAATAGCTAATACCAACTATTTTGCAGTGAAGGTGATTTTTTTATTCTGGGGTATTTCTGACAATAAACAAAACTGTGCAGAACTAGGAAAACAGTGGGGCCTCCCCATGGGGGCAGGCGAGGGGGCAATGGTCACCTCTATTCTTTTTTCACCCCAGCCTGACAATTTATTATGCATAAAACATTTAATTAAGTAGAGGACAGGTTTAAATGAGTTTGACCTTTGTTTATATATATATATATATATATATATATATATATATATATATATATATATATATATATATATATATATATATATATAGAGAGAGAGAGAGAGAGAGAGAGAGAGAGAGAGAGAGAGATTTAGTCAAGGATTATAATGAAACCTATGAAAAATTTGTCCTGAGATTATCAGTGACCCCCACAACAAAACTTTCTATTTCCGCCCCTGTGGAGAGGCAAATAAAGCCAAATCTGTCGCCGAGTTTGGTTTTTTAATTGATCTTACACAGCCTGTAACTTTTAACAGACTAAATATTATTTAATGTCTGAGATGAAATGTTATTTTACACGAGTTTTACTAAATTAACTGCTCATAACGAGTTGGCAAAATGATGTAATTGGTTATGTAGCCTCGGGAAAGGGGGAGGTTAAATAAAAGCCATCAGTTTTGATTATGAGTCTGTAGCTGGGGCTGACCTGGAAACGCCCCCACACGGAGGAGCCTAGGCAGCGCGGAGCTGCTTCCCTCCGAACCGAACCGCTCCCATAGCCCGCGGACACATTTCTCTGCAAACAAGCGGCACAACTTGTCCGCCTCCCCCTGACTGGATGCCTGCTCTCCCCCCCCCTTGTTGACTCCCCTTGAATGTTGAGTTGAAGAAGAAGGAGAGGAGGGGGAGAGAATAGCTACTTCCTTCCTTCTCCGCCTGTTCTCCCTCCCTTCCTCCGCCTCCCCTCTTACAACCTCCGGGCTTTCAGACGCGATGAGGGTCAGAGTGTGAGGATCATCCCACAGGTGTGCTGCTGGAAACGCTCGCGCGCGCGCGTACCTGGAAACTACCATGTGACTCGGCACCTGGGCGTGGAGAAAGTCTTGGTATTCCAACCGGAGACTCTTTTGTTGAGTTGACCGAGCTGGTCTCTCGTTTCTCGGTTTCCGAGCAGTTAATTCCCAGTTTTCCCGACGGAATAGTGCCTTTCTTCAACCTCCTCACGGGACGAGAGGTGAACTTGCGCACGAGCGCGATTCTTCAACACACATTATAACAGAAGGATACTTCATTTTGTTCAAACTGTTTTTTTCTTCTTCTGGAAACTCCTCTCCGCTTCTTTTTCCTTTCAAGGTGAGTTCAGATCCCGACTGGTTCCCCTTTTAGGAGCAAGTTTCTGCATTTTGCACGAAAGCAAGTGATTGAAACTGCAACCGGTGCTTCTTGGAGGCTTTAATAAGCCCTGTTATAAAACAGAAAACGAGAATACCTCGTGAGCAACCGCAGCATGTGTAAAAAAAAAAGTCCAAACGGCATGGCTAAATGTAAATAAACTGTTATTGTGCAGACAGATGAGCTGCATCTTTGAAATGCTTCACAGTTGAACTCATGACTGTCATGAAAACTTGTTCCAGTGTTCTCTAACTCAACAGCTGATTTAGAGTGAGTGAGTGAGTGAGTGAGGAGGTGGGGGTGTCCCTGAAGACATGCTCTTCTTTAACCCATTAATTTCATCTACAGCCGCTGCATCTGCCCGGCTAAATCACAAGGGGCTGTCTGTCCCTGCGCCTTGGCAATTTCAGTGAGGGATGGGCACATGAGCGGTGTATTTCCTCACCTCTGGACAGTGGGGCGGTACATCAGCATCTGAGAGGACAGATGTAGCAGAGAGCCATGCCTCATGTTTGTTTTCCCCTTCCCCATCTCCCTCGGTCTTGTCTCTCTTTCATAGAGAACAAGGAAAACAGAGCGAGTATTGATGTCCCTGTTGAATCTGCCAGTCTGTGTCTCCCAGTCCCTGGCTCAGCTCCTCAGCAAACCACTGCACTGCCTTGTAGCCTTTTGAAACCATCCTTGTCTGCATTTGCAGCCCCCTCTGTTCTCCCCCTCCTATGTTGACAAACCTACTGAACAAGGGCTGCTCAATCTCCTGGAGATGATCCCAATTAAATAACATAATGCAAACAGTCTCCTAGTGGGGATGGATTAGCGCAGGAAAAGGGTACGTGAAAGCCGGAAAGGCGGCTGCCAGTGGCTGGAAGGGGATTTGAGCAGGGGGCCAGCCTCCAGCGGTCTTAGGCTGCAAAAGGAGATGTACCATCTGCTCACAGGGAGACACACACACAAGAAGTTTAAAAGTAAGCGCTACCTCTGCCTCTCACCCTGCTGTCCCTCCCTTTGGACTGTCTTTCTCTTCCTCCCTGACCCACAATGCTTCATTCAGTGTTTATCTCGTCTCTGAATAAATAGAGACACCTTATCTGTGCAGAGGAGAGTGTGATAAATGTTTTCTCCTGCTCCTCGCAAGGGTGAAGAAGACAAGCATACCACACTGCTTCATCACTGATGCTCTTTTCAGGACAGGGGGATAAGGAGACATTCTCATTCAGGTCATGTTAGAGTTTCAGGATTCTGCTAAACAATTCCCAAAAGCAGAGCGCATACACGCTCACGTCCATGAATACAAGAGAAAAGGGAAACAAATCAAATGTTTCTTTGAGTTTCCTCATTTTTCATCTTTCACCTTTTTCAATATTTCAGGTAAGAAGTTGCGACCTCTGGAAAATAACTATAACATCCACTCTGTCTTTAAATGCAGCAGTGTGACCTGTGAACTTCTGAGAAACAGCTTTTTTTTTTTTTTTTTTTTTGCAGAGATCCTCTAAGCCGCAGTATGTTTTGGGTGAGCTTAAGTTCAGAGCTTAAGCCATCCTGGAATTTAAGCGCCACATTTTAAGAGGTCAGCCTAATTCGTGCTCGTCAAACTGTCCTTTTTGTTTCCTTTGCACGGGATTACCGGCTCCTGTCACTTTAATTTATAAAATAAAACCATAATCCTTGTAAACATAAAGCAATCCAATAGCTCCTGTCCGCAGTGTGCTGTAGGTACAAAGCGCCAAACAAACGGAGACACTAGTTTTGTTCATTACATGCGGCTCTTTTTAAAACGACTACATAATCTCTCTTTTAAACACGGTGCATAATCTAAATTGTTATTGTTTTTGTTTATTTACCCTCTTTGGTCGGTGCGTTTCGACTGGTTTCTCTGTGCAGACTGAACTTTGTGACATTGCTGCCTAAAATAGATTTTACATGAAGCATGGCCTATATGAGTTGACTTTTTTCAGGCTTATCTTATGTACACATAGTTTTCGGGGGAATGTAGGCAGATGCTTGAAGGGCGTGTCAGCCTGCCATCAGACGGCTGAAAGATCTGAGTAATAGAGATTTCCTTTAAATTACAGATAGACCCGTCCTTTCATGTCTGGGGATTATCCCGTGATGAAGGGACGTCACGCAGAGGTGGATTTCTGATCCTATCTCTGTTGGGGTTTATAGTTGCCACCCTTGCCCTTGGACTTGAAGGCCTCATCCTGAACTATCATTCTGACAGCGTCCCCCCCCACCCCCCACCCCGGTCAGATGTGTTGGTGTTTGCACTTTACACACCCTTGCTACCCTTGCCACTCAATGCCTTTCCCTTTCTCACACACACTCCAGTTGAGAATAGCAAAGGGGATGTGTATTACAGATCTTGATGTGTGATGTTAATTCTCATCCAAGTCTCCCTGTAGCAGCAGCAGCAGGTTGTGCGTTTGACTCACCAGCATATTAAGTTCACTTAAGGGGTTTCGTAGGCTCCCAAACCAAATGACCAATCGCAGCTCAACAGGGTGTGCTGTTACTTCTAAAACAACCTTGACACTTTCTCGGCTCACACTGTCTTTTATTCCCCCTGCCAGCCGCACCATGCAGTCAGCCTCGTCATGGCTGCCAACTCATGCTGGTTTCTCCTGCTGCTGCTCACTCCTCTCCTCCTCTGCCCACACCGTTATCTCTAAACTACTAGTATCAAGCAGAATAACTAAGGCACACATGATTTTGGAAAAGTCAGTGAGACTTGTTGAAAGTCTGATCTGCACAAGGACCCAGACTTTCTAATATTTTGGGTATTTTTTTTACTTTATTATGTGTGTGTTTGCTACAAATGTCTTAATTTACTTGGTGGATTCAATTAAACTCTAAAATATCATTAAATTAGCATCTACAAATTATTTCATTTTGGAGTCACCTTAATTCATTATGGCTACCACAGCTAAATGCTATTAGCAAACACAAAAAGCACCATCACTCTGTGAGCTTCACAAATATTGAGCTAAAATTTGGTGTGGTAGTAGCCGAGAGTCCTCCTAAAAATATTCAAGCACTAAATTATCTCACAAGGTCCTCAATCTTGTTAAAGGTGCAATACGTGAGAATTTTACAGTGAAACAATCACAAAACTGTCAAATGTCTCATCAGGTTGGAAGGAATGCTGTACTGAAACAGATTTCATTCTTAACTGGCCGGGGAGTTGTCAGTTTTTCTTCTTTAAAAAAATTTAAAATTCAATAAAAAAGTGGTATGTAGTTACTACACACTGTGAGTTTGTGAGGTTGCCAAATCTGCTAAATTCCAGAACTGCGCTGCTCTGGGTGGCTGCATGTTGAAGTAGCTCTGACTATATGTAAGTTTAGCCTTGTTTTTAGACATTTGTTCTCCTAGTTTCTCAAGAAAAACATTTTTTTGTGGACATTTTACTTTTCTGTTTCTGTTTCTGGTGTTGTGAAGCTTAGAGGATTTTTACTGCTATTTTTTCACTTTTTGAGCATTTATGATGCGTAACCGTGGCAACAAGCTGGTTTACAATCGGGAGCAGCTGATTAACATTGGAAAGGCTGAAATAATACCTCAACTGAAGCCACAAATCCCAAATGAGCTAAAACGCAAGAAGCGTGGGTGCAGAGCGGGAGCAAAATGGAGACAGAGAAAGAGGAAATTCAAACCGTCTCTTTCATCGATCATAATGGGCAATGTGAGATCACTGGCCAACATTAGAGCCCTGCACAGGCCTAAAATCTGAGCCGGTGTCCGTCCCGGCCCGAGGGGGTGGAGCCCCAGCCCGACCCGGTCCGAAAAGGTTTTCAGGATTCTCTGGCCCGAACCGAGCCCAAGCCCGACTTTTTTTTAACCGACTAAATGAAAACAAAGTGCGTCAATCCTGACCAATGTGTTAAAAGACGTGCAGGATCCGATCAATTTGTTTTTCCCTCATTTACCGCCACAGAGATAACGGCGCAGGCTCTGGTGTTAATCAAGTTAAATTTGATCTCTTTCCAACAATTTTCACAAGAAAGCAAAACAGTCAAAAGCAGGGCTTGTGTTGTGTTGACCGGATAGTTCCTGTATTTGACGGTTTATTTTGACGGAGAAAGAATAGAAAGAATTACCCCGACGCATGCAGACGAACTGACATTTTATTCGTTACGCACATCGCAGATGTAGTTAAATCACCCAAGAAAAGATTCCCATCTGAACATCTGAGCTGCTCAGCGCAGCTCGCTGTCGGCGCATATGTGCACAGCGAGCTGAAGTTGTGGAGATTGGCTTGGAGCGCGTTGCAGAACCAGAGCGCATGCGGGAAGGTTCCTCCCACTGAAGCGAGTGTTTTCCAAACTCGGTCTCTCAGAGAGACTTGTCACTTAGAAAATGTTCCCTGATTATGAAACTTTGGCTGAATAGCGCTTGTTCCTGTCTCCAATGTGGCGACGCATCCAGGAGCCGTCTGAGGAGAAGTCCAGAATCTCACATCCTCTTCAGCTCAGAAAGCGCATATGATTACGCACAAGCGTGACGCGTCAACCCGGTCTTACAGTAAGACTGGGTTGGACCTGTTCAGGTTTACACAGACAATCTTTACATAGAATTGACTTACAGATACAAAATTAATTCAGTAAAATATAAAGCATTTTATTTAAATATCCATTCATTATTTTACAAGCACAGAGAGCCGCATCAGATGGATGGAAGAGCCGCGGGTTGTGACATGTTTTCTCCAGGACCAGAGAGGACGCAAGCTCAATACATCTCTTTTATTGTGAGGTAATAATTTCTCCGAGTTTTGCGGTTGCGGGCGGGAGTAGACATGCACGCTACGGGTGCGGGTGGGAGTGTAACACACACGTTGCAGTTGCAGGCAGTAATGGTCAGAAATTCAGCGGGAGCGGGCAGGAGCGGGATGAAGAAAACAGTCCCGCGCAGGGCTCTACTGCTGTGTTTGTGTTTCAATTTTTTATGAATTTGATTAAAAATGA